ATGTCACAACAACTCTGCCTATGAATATACGGCTATGTTTGACGTTGGGTACTGGGTGGTTCCACTAAGGCCCCACCTAGAGTGAATCCGCGCGGTGTCTGAAAAACAGCCGAACAATGAGCCTCGGAACGGCGTCGGAGTCGCGTCATGACAAGCATGTCGACTTTATATACACCAACTCCACCACCACGCTCCTTACCTATATACCCAAATTGAATCTACTATTCATTTTCATTGCGCCTTCCCTATTTGCGCAAATCTAACTCTTCGGAATTCTTAGCTGAAGTCCGCCATTCGCCCACCATGTCCAAGCTCTCCCTAACCCTCAAGTCGCTCATCAACGCCGCACATTCGCGCCCCGGCCCCGTCCCAGCACCCCCACGTATCCAAGCAATCTACAGTAAAATAGAAAAAGAAGCCACAGACCGGAAACTCGGCCGCCCATCATGGCTCGGCATCTCCACAGCAGCGACAATGACGATGAACTCGCCAGAGGCAATGGTAACGCTATACAACACATTCAGTAAATCGAAGTCAGAAAGCGAAGGAGTAGCAATAGCAGAATTTATGCGCGAGATCGGGTTGAAGTGTATAGGTTTCAATGGCGTACGTATCGCACCACCCGTTCACTCCAAACCCAGATCGCATTTCTAACAAACACACCCCACAGATCCCCCGCACAATCAACATGCTCAACGCCTTCCGCGCCGAACTCCCCTCCTCAATCGCTGCCAACCTAAACACCAAACCAACGCGCTTCCCCTCTCCCTCCAACGTCGAGCAAATAAACGCCCGCGGCCGCGCCTTATGGAACGCCATATACCGCCCCCTCGAAACAAAGCTCGAACATAAACTAGGCGATGCACACCCCGATCTACCCGTCTTCATCATAAACAGCGAGTACGGGGGTCTCTTCACCGATCCGCCGCGCAAAGAAGGCGCAACTGTCGGCCGCATCACGACGAGCTTGATTGCGATTACTTGTTTGAGGGCGCAGCAGGGTGTGGGACCGCAGGTTTTGAGTCATGTGTTTGGGTTGAGGAAGGCGTGGGAGGATGGCACGTGGAAGGAGGAGCCCGAGGCTGGGAGTGAGGAGGGCATTAAGTGGCTGGTTAGTGATGAGGGGTGTACGTGGGTGTTGGAGAAGGTAGATGAGCTTGTTGAGGCGCTTGGGGGTGGGCATGGGAGTACGTTTGCGCCTGTGAAGGCGAAGTTGTAGAGGGTTGTGTAGGTGTGTAGATTTTAAACATAGATACCCGGACATTCTTATGCTTGAGTGTCTCATAAGAAGGACGTTCAGTTTGAACAATGTGAGACTCAATCTATACCATCATATTGACAAGAACAATCCAATCATGGGCAAGATCGTATTGAATTCCCATGTACTCCATTACTTCATCCCGACCATCTCCCCGTTCCTCGCGAGCGCCAAGTTCCGATACATGCCCGCCTCTTATCCCCACCAAATGCATCCCTCCTTCCTGATCCGGCTAAGTGTCGCGAGGCACCCGGCACATCCTTTATCAGCATCAAATCAACACACAAGTTGGCCGCAGGTAGGAGCACAATGCGATATCGGGGACCCCGGATTATGGAGTTGGAACCTGTTCCTGCAGCGACTATCATTGTAGTACTTGGTAGTACATTCTGAATTAGGTAGCTGGGCACGCGGCGTAGTTGGAGGCAGGTACTATAAACCACAGCTCACCCGTGGAGGAAGTACGTCTCTGAGTCTCCCACCTACGAGCTTTTGTTGCGGTCAATTGCACAGTATGCGCTTCCAATTCAGCACCGCGCTGACTGCAGCACTGGGGCTGGCTTCGTCCGCAGATGCCCTCAAGATCCTAATGGGGAATGACGACGGGTTTGGGAGTGGAAACCTGAGAGAATTGTACAAATTGCTGGTCGGCGCCGGTCATGATGGTACGCTCGAGGTACTTCGAGGTGTAAAGTACACTCAACGCTAAACCTCACCCAGTTCTCATTGTCGCCCCCGCCCAACAGCAGTCTGGCAAAGGCACCACCGTCATCTGGTCCGAGTCAGCAAACCTTACAGTCCCATCCCAATACAACATTGTTCCTGCAGGCGCGCCATCAGTAGGACGCGATCCATCCGACGACAACATATGGTACTATGATGGCACCCCAGCGGCATGTACCTTTGTTGCCCTCGACTATGTGCTCCCGCGGTATTATCCCGAGTGGCACCAGACAGCGGATCTATTCATTGCCGGACCGAATTACGGCACGAACCTCGGTCCGTTCGTAATGGCACTGAGCGGCACTGTAGGCGCAACCATTGCGGCTGTATCACGTTCCATTCCTGGTTTTGCGACCAGCGCGAGCAACAAGGCGGTTCCGTATTTCAACGTGACAGGCGCTGCTCATCCCGCAGCGCAGGCAGCCAAGGTCACCTTCGACATCGTCAATGAGTTCATCAAGAACACACCGGAGGGTCAACAAGTCCTCCCGCTCGGGTACGGCGTCAACATCAACCTCCCCGAGCTCGCCAACGGTACCATGCCTCCAGTAGTCAAGTCCCGACTCACTGGTCAGGCTAACACAGACGTGGCCGTGTTCAACGAGACGACTGGGTTATTCACTTGGGACAACGTCGATCCTGTTGCCGCAGGTATCAATGCTGCTTACAGCGGGGACACGAGCCTTCCTGGAGAGACCTGGGTCGTTGGTGGGGGTAGCATTAGTGTTAGTGCGTTCACTCTGGACTGGTCTGCGCCGAGCATCGAGTATACTGATGCTGTATATGGAAAGGCTGAGAGCTTGTTCAGCGGGCGCTCAGCTACGAAAAAGGCGTACAGCAAGAGGATGGTTGAAGAGCGAATGCACAAGAGAGGTGTAATATTGAATGGAAGGGATGGCGGAGCTTGAGCTGCGAACGTGGTACCTAGGCATTCCTCACGCTGATATCATTACCTACTTATGTAATCAAGAGATCGCGCTAGTGCGCACCGTCCCTGCCTCATCCATGATCAAACACCATCCTCTTGTTTAGACCTCGATCTAGTGATACCCATCGTTCGAGCTTGCGGGAACTAGAGCGTTTCTGGCATTGCGACAGTTCTCTGACAAGCCCCGCTCCTCCGAGCTCATGCAAAGCGGCGCTACGGTTGCGACTTTTGACGTTCGAGAAGTTTCACAACCTACCCGTCCAGCAGCAACTTCAATTCCAGGATTCCGCGATTCAAACTTTGGCGGCACGTAACGCCTGTAGTCTCCTGTCAGCGTCTTCTACTCGTGGATCAATTTTTGACAGCCGCCGCCACTAGGCGCTGATGCGGCCGGATTATGAAGCCTAGGCTTCGCTCGCATTCGAGATATCGCCTCAAAAGGCGCTCAGGCCGGTCAAAGCCCCGTTTTCACGGCATTGACGAAACCAGAGCTTCGGAAATTTTGCTCGTGAGTGTTAGCGTCCTAACGCGCGGGTGTATAAGAACGCATTGTGATCCTGCGCCTTAAGTTTGCTATTATCATCGGGCGTTTTCGATCACCTTCGTTCGTTCTACAAACATCTCCGGCTTGACGCTGTGAATTTTACTCTACATTCTTTATTCTGAGCTTCAGCCGTGCTGTTTCTTTTACTCCTTCAAACACAAACAACGACATTCATTGTCCTTACGTACTTTTGCCAACATGTACTTCCAGTCTTTTGCTGTCCTGTCGCTTGCTGCTCTCGCTATTGCTGCGCCCACACCCAACAAGCACGCACTTGAAGCACGACAAAGCGCCGCGGTATTTGCGGATACGACCTACAACGCCATATCCATCTCCGGCGGCCAGGCTGGAAATGCCAAAGCCGAGGCTGCCGCGGTATTCAAAGCACTGGACGTCAACAACCTCAAAGATATCGCTAGTGAAGACCTGACCTTTCTGAACACCGTCAATCAGGTCGCCAACGATGCCGAAAAAGAAGTTTTCAACCCCGCGGTTGAAGCTGCTACCGGCGATCAGGCCACTCAGATCCAGGTATGTAAACAATTTATGTCAGGATCATGCATTTCTAACGATGACCACAGAACGGCAAGATCAAGAACAAGGTTCTGAAGCTGATGGCCACCGTCCTCAAGCTCCAAGCGCAGGAAGCTCAGGGCCAGGACGTTGCAGCTACGCTGGCGGAAGAGACGAAGAAGTTTGACAACAACGTCGCTCTGGACGTCAAGGCCGCCGGTCAGGTCTCTATTGCGGAGCCATTTACTGCCACCATCTCCGGCAAGGGTAAATAAGGACCATGTCAAGTTCCTACCTCGTACTTGGAGTGAAATCCGACTATTTATTATATACGATCCGTCATCTCTACGCTATCCTGCGACCGCAATCACTTGCGTATACATAAAGTTTACTTCGTCGCGACTCTATTTCGCATTGTTCATAGTACTCTCATCATCCATCGACATTCCAATCGATTCAAAGCATCACCATTGGTCTTTCCTGGGCATAATGTGGATCTGTATCCTTCAGGAGGCAGTGGCTCGGAACATGATTGATTAACAATGACAGTGCTGATGTACGATCAAGTGTACACCAGCAACACTGTGTGTTGGGAAGTTTGTTTACAATGTACATCGTTATGCATTCTTGCACATAGTGCATTCACTGTTCTAGCATCGTTAACAGTCGGGACATATAGTATATAATCTACTTTTTAAACATCAAAGCTACAGAACGGACTACATCTACACAGACTACATCTACAACCGCCAGAGACTCTCGACTATGCAGGAACATAACATCCAGACTGCCCCGTCGGGCCCCTTGACATGGGAGACGCCGGAATTGCGCGAGCTTTATAAGCTCTACTGGCAAGTACATCGCCCCGAGATTTGTCGTAATGAAGTAGATGCTTACCGTTCAAGCGCATACGATGATTTCTACGAGCACAACAATTACTTCTCGGACTCAGTGCCTAGTGAAGACGAGATGCTCAACAATGACATCCACCCAATCTTTGACAAATCCAACTGGGTAGTAGGGTTTGATGATTTCGACGAGTGGTACACGACCGTCATGCCAGCTCTTCAATTGGCGTCGATGTTCATAAGCCATCCTCACATGTTGAAGTTCTGGATCCACTTGAAGTACGGCCGGCCCGGCTTCGAGAACGGATGGGTTGGCGTTGTAGAGGATCCTATGGAGCACGATCCAGACGTAGTCGAAAAGATCAAGGACGAACTTCTACAGGTCGCTCGAAAGGTAAAGTTTGCATTCCGGATTGCAGAAGATATGTCAGGCATGGGAGGTATGTACGAACCTAGTCTTTGGTGGGCTCGCAGTAAATTCGAAAAAGCAGCCGAGACGTTGGGTGTCGACTATCCTAAAGGCTCATGGTACAATCGATGGGACAATTCGGTCTGCCGTACTGTTTTCCTCTCCGTTCACTACTACACCTGGTTTTTTCATCAATTCACTCCCGGCCATAAGCTGCAGAGCGACATGATGCTCGCTAAACTTCTCGTCCACGAGATGGCACATGCTTGTACAAAGATGTGGCAGCCAGATACGTGTAAAAGCTATGAGCCAGCTACCCAAGGTTCTGACCACTTTCCAGAAGCTGGTATCTCTTGGGAGCAATTCGCTTTTGGTGGTTTGATCACAGGATATGATTGGCAGGGCCCATCGAGCGGTTTGGAGTGGGATCATCTGTATCCTTCTGCCATCTCTCATGGATTGCCTATCGCTGTTCCACTCCCCATGACCTATTTCTCGCAGTGGTTCTGTAGGGATACATGGGAGCATCTGACCGAGCGCCTCGACCAGCTTCAAGTTCCCACTATCGCTCGACATACAGACATCTTTTTGATCAAGCAGTTACGTGGAGGTTATTGGGAGGAATATCTCATCGTCGACGGCGAACCCTGGCCTGCGGCACATCTTGCTCAATACGAGGGTCACCCACTTGAGGACGAGGAGTATACACCGGCCGCAGACGAGCCCGCAATCCCAACTACTTCAGCCGACATCATCTCACGCTACCAAGAGATCTACGCCATTGACGTAGCCCGATACCAGGAGATAGAGGACGCAAAGCCCCTTCCTGAGCACTGTTACTGGGAAATCACAAAGCTTTGCTGCCCGTACTCACAGATTCATTCACTCGCTGATAACGCTCTGGATCCGATTGGCGCTGCTTCTGAAGAGCATTACTATGTAGTGCATGGATGTAAGTACTGTTGGCAATTGCCACATGATGTGGAGCCCGATGTGCACCCGGTGCCGTATTCGCGCCGCGTTGAGCCTGAGCATCCGAGTAAGCGGACGCTGTTCACGCGGAAGAGCAATACACCCGTGCGTTGCGGTTTGCCTCAGAAGCATACGGCGCTTCGACCAGCGGGGCGTAGCATTGTGAAGGCAACGCTGGAGCATGTCGATCCTGCTTGTGTGACACCGGCTCTTGAGCAACTCTTCGGGGAGGTTGCAGTTGATGGCGAGGCAGTAGTTGAGCAGATTGAGGCAGTGGGAGTGCCGATTGAGTTACAGGTAGTTCAGGCCAGGGAAGGTTATCCCAGGGTTAGGACGTGTGGTTTGTTGATGATGATCTCGGAGCCCATCTCTCGTTTGGCTGATTGGCTTCATCTTCCCTAGACAGGTAACCAGGTCAGCATTTCCGGTTTTTTAGACAGCAATTCATGCAATGATTTTCAAATTTTACAAGACCAAATTGAACAGTGATGATTCCAATATTTCGTGATGCAGTGAAAGTAGAAAGCGTGACTCCTCCTTAGCGTCTTGGCAAACTAATGACGTAGCCCTCACACGCCTCAACGCGTCTCCGCGAAATCCTTCACACCACCAAAACCACTCTCCTAACGCCAGCACCACCCCAATCGCAACAATGCTCCGCCCAGCACTCCATCTCCGTGTCCCATTAAAACCCTGCCTCCCCACCAGCACCCCCACCCGCGCCTTCACCCTCTTCCCCTCTACCGCCCCCTCCAAAAATCGCATCTACGATCCAATCCGGCAACCCGGCGACCTCCACACCCTAACTCTCCTCTGCGCCGCCAACAACCTCCCACTCGTCACTTTCTGGAGCGCTACATGGTGTCCTTCCTGCCAAACAGTCAAGCCACTCCTACGGCGGCTCATCGAAGAAGAAAAGGTAGGAGAGAGCGAGGGAGGGCTGGGGTTTGCAGAGGTGCTGATGGATTCGACGTTGATTGGGGATTTACCGGTGACATACCGCATTAGTAGTATGCCTACACTGTTGGCGTTTGCGAGGCAGGAGGCGCAATTTGATGGGAGGGTTGTGAGGCCGGAGGATATGAGGAGTGAAGAGTTTTTGAGGAGGTGGTTGGAGGGGGTTGCTAGGAAAGGGGGTAGGCGGGGTGGGGGTGGGATTTTTGGTTAGTGAATAATTATTGGGGCGTCTAGTGGGAAAGCATGATGGGATATTAGAGCCTGACGGTTTTCAGGTACGAAAGCCGATGGGGAGGATGAGGCGGGAAGGCAGAAGTAAGGTTGCTATCCTTGAGCGTATGTTCAAAACTACTTATGAAGGTGCAAATCTCCTCCGCTGACAGAAGATTAGAATATCTACCTATCACGGCAAGATACAAGTCTCCTCACGTATCATCGACTTCATCTAACGTTACATCCTTTCAATCTGCATTTCAGCAAAGCCTTTGCTGAGTGATGGGTATCATTGGGTATCTTATACTATATTTACCGCTAATTGAAAAGAACATGCAATCGTCTCCGCACCGTCAGGTCCGAAGTCCTTCATCCCAATCTACAAAAGTCTGGTCTTGGTGGGTCGGCATGCATTTCACCTTTGCCGGTGGCTTAGCCTCCCACTCGATCTTTCCATCATCGCCTTCGTTCGCAACATGTTTCGAGGCATATCCTTTCAACGCCTTGATCTTCTTTGCAGCAGCATCGCTGTATTCGACATTGACGCTCGGCACCACGGCGATCTTTCCATCGCCATGGAACCACATATCCTTCGCGAACAACTTCGGCTCTCCCTGAAAACACTCGCCTTCTTTGTGTGCGCGGAAAGCAATCTTCTTCTCCATGATTGGCTTGGCCGTGAACGCTGTCACACCATTCCAACAGGCGAAGACTTGGAAGGGTTTTGATTGCGACAACCGCGAGTGCGCCTTTTCATCGTTCCAGAAAAGGTTCCATGCAGAGTCCCAGCTTCCGTCCGGCGGGATATTAAAGAAAGTATCCCCCGTCATACCGCGCGCTATCCAGACGTCGTAGAAGGTTGGGTGCTCACCGACATAGGTCCAGTCCATGGCGCATGTCTGATCAGCGCCCTGGAATACGCGCTGATGAATGAGCTCGAGCATGTCCTCCATGCATAATGCGACATCGTTGGAGAATATTATGGTAGTATTCTCGTGGTACTTCTCTGGAGACTTCATGAGGTCGTCTAACGCCAAATTTCGCAGCTTAGCTAAGCCTTCGATACGGTCTGTTCCTGGGGTCATCGGATTGATGTCACTGCTCTGAAGGATGTATTTCACTCCCAGAAGTTGCATGCTAAAGCGCAGCTCTTTTAGTACTTCGTATGTTCCGTCATCCGACCGTCCCTCGACGATGGAAAGCACGCAGTTTTCGGGACCCAGATATTTTATCGTCTCAACGATTGAACCGATCAAGCGTGGTAGAAGGTCAACACATTTGTGCAAATCTAGTGCGAAAAAGTATTTGGGGGATGTCCCGCTTACGGACGACCTTGAGGCGCCGCCGTGGAGGTACGCATATCGATCCAAGTTAGGCGTTGGACATTCAAGACGGGGAAATGTTGTATCTGTTGATTCCATGATTGCGTGAATGTATCGTGGACTCTGTGCGAGAAGTGCAGCATCTCCTTTTCTCAACGGGTCTTTTGGTGGCTCCACCGGGTTTTTTGGGGCAGGCGCAGCCGCGACGGCCGAGGGCGTTGAATGAGTGTTTGCAATCCATCCTCGTGATAGCGATGTGCGAGAACTGTAGTGGAAAAAGGAAAACCCCGCAATGAGAGAGGCGAAAACTGCAAGCAATGCGATGGCCTGCAACAGCGATCGCATGCTCCTGGACGTCGCCATCAGAGGCTAATGGTGGTGCCTGTCGGGCGTTCGTGAGAAGTTGAGTAGAAAAGCCAAGAAGAGCTTCGCAGCAGATTGGGTAGGCGGCCGCTCTTCAGTTTAGCCAGTACGCCAAAGACATGTACTCGTGGCTCCGGGCCAGAGTACTGTAGGTCAGACAGATAGGAGATCCGGAAGAGTTGGTCGTGTGCGCACAAGATAACGGCTTCAAGTGAGAAGGTTTGAGTTTCTTGAATAAGGCGACGGCGAGAGGCAAACAGGATAAGCCACTCGGAAGACTGCAGCGTTCATGGCTGTGAATTCAGTGTGACGAACTCCGAACGCAAAAGCAGGCAATCTTACAGGAAGCACGGCTGCGATGAATTAATAATCGTCCCGCTGGCGCTTCGCGGAAGCACACGGCACTGTTGTAGCCAATCACATTAACCAGCATGATTGGCAAGCGCCGACTTCAAAATCGCACGCCTATCTCCACCCATGCTATGATCGATTTGATCAAATCGCTAGCAAAGTTTGAGTAACCACTTCGTGATCCTTCACCTCGCAGCGCTACACATGTGGAATCATGGCCAGAGACACGTTACTGCGTGTGCGGCGTGGTAAAGCGCCGCCATAAGAATGCAAGGTTCAGTCTCGAAAGTACCTAGGGTTTGCATTTTGCTTCTGGTAGCCTTTTCTTTGTACTGCGTCGTCATTCGTTTCTAGATCTGTACTTTGCATCTTTGCTATGTCCAAGTTCCTCTTCTCAGTCTTTACCCTAATAAGCATGATGCAGGTAGTAGCTCCAAGTCGAGTACTACCTCGCAATAGGCTACCATTTGGAGCTCTAGATGCAACACCTACATCTAACTCTTCCAACTTACCCAACAAAAGACAGGCTTTTGCTCCTGTGACTACCTGTGGTTACTCCAATGGCAATCCGGAGCTCCCCCGAACAGCAGATCCCGATTATGGATGTCGTGTAGATACTGCAAATGGACTGTGGGGTTTCTGTCCTACATCTGTGGTTTCAGCAAAAGACTGTGGTCTCGCAGGTGTATGCGTAGATTCAAGTTCTTGCTCGACGGGATGTGGTAGACTGTTTAATCGACCAGATATCACCACTTTCTCATGGTATGTTACCACCACTATCTTGGTAGTCGAGTCATTTTCTAACGTACTTCTTGTAGTGCCGCCAAACAATCCTGTTCCACAGTACTACTAGTCAACGGCCCTGATCAATCCTTCGAGTACATCGCATGCGGAAACCAAGCTAAAACCGATACTCTCTTCGCAGTCCCCAACGCAGTCTTAGCAACAACAACGTCATCGTCATTGACTTCTCCCACTACTCGAAGCTCATCCTTTGCTACCTCAACCACCCAAATCACAACATCAACAGCAACCCCAACACCTAAAGCCATGGCATCAAGTTCTGCTATCCTCCCCGACCTACTGCCATCCCAATCTATAACTCCCGCACTCTCCCAGCAAAAGCCCACAAACATCGTGCCCATAGTAGGCGGCGTCGTCGGCGCACTCGCACTAATCTGCCTGACTATCCTCGGTGTACTGCTCATCCAGCGAAAGCGTAGACCTGCAAAAAACGGCATACAACCCCCAGACTACACATTCAACGACCGGAACAACTTCGCCAGTAAAGCCGAACTTAGCACGCATAACTCGAGATATATACCGAAAGGGTATGGCTGGGATAGCAGTCATAGCCCGGTTGAGATGCAGGAGAGAAGTTATGTTAATATGAAGCCGGTGGAGCTGCCGGGGAAGGTAGGCGATATCGATGGGGTGAGGGGGGTTTGAGGATGGAGTGTTGAGGGTGCAAGGTTGGTGTGGTGATGTGGTATTCTTTTCTTCTGTGTAGGATAGTGGTGGAGGATATCAAGGAATATCAGCCTAGTTATATAGAGCAAAGGAAGGAGAAACAAGTGTAGGTAGTCATCGTAATTAACTCTAGGTAGAGTAATCGTCGCACGCGCGCAGATATTGATGTTAATAAAGCCACTACGATATATTCAGCACGCCAATAGGTAGTTTATGCAAGTTTTACTAGTTTCGGGACATACAGATATTAGAGGTCTGGAAAGAATGCTATCACAAGTTATTCTTTCATATCTTCTACAATCTAAGCTCATGATCATTGCGAGTGGTAGTGACAGGGATAGGGCTTACGGGAGACAGGATTAGTGCATGCTAGCTTACGCCAAGCGAAAGAAGACACTGGTACACTTGCCAACATCCAGCTAGTGTACCTCTCGACACGAACTTCTGTATTACAACATGGGACTTCGATCTCTACACGCGATGAATACATTTCATTCCATCATCATGGCAACGGCGTTGGCTGTGACAGCAGCCGCGCAGCCAATGTGTGTCATGTATCTGACAGGGTGCGCACCTCAATCCCCATCCGCCCCACCGAGGCCTTCACTCATGCATCGACAGCCAACACAACGTGGTCCCAGAACTATCCCTCGTTTCAAGTGTCACGCACGTTGAATTAGCATTTATGTCCACTTCCCTTTTTAATGAACCAGAGCCTTCTACGACTTGGCCGCTGTTCACAACCGTGGATACCGTAAGATCGCAATTCGCCCCAGGCACGGTGGTCATGGTTGCGATCGGTGGTTGGGGCGATACCGCCAGCTTCTGCGAGGCAGCAAAGGATGATTCGTCGCGCAAACGATTTGCACGTAACATTGCAGCGATGATTAATGATACTGGAGCTGATGGTAAGTCGTAAATGCTATATCCAGCGAACTACTTGGTAACGAGTACAGGTGTTGATATCGACTGGGAGTACCCCGGGTAAGCCCATCACACTTTCCTTTCAACAACACCCTCATCAACCATCCAAAACTTATACTCTCCCAGTGGCAACGGCGAAGACTACAAAAAAGTCCCAAACTCAGAACGAGCCTGGGAAATCGCCGCCTACCCTAAACTCCTCGAAGAGATCCGCGCAGCAATCGGTCCGTCTAAACTCATCTCAGCAGCCGTCCCCGGCTTACCACGTGACATGATGGCCTTCACTCACGAAACCGTGCCTATCATCAACAAATACGTTAATTTCTTCAACATCATGACGTACGACCTGTTGAACCGGAGAGATAACGTTACAAAACATCATACCGGTATCCAGCTATCCCTTGAAGCAATAGACGCGTACATCAGCCGCGGTGTCCCATCATACAAAGCTAATCTAGGCTTCGCCTTCTACACAAAATGGGCCAAAACCGCCCCCGACGGCGGCGGCTGCGATATCAACCCCGTAGGCTGTAGAACCGATCTCCTGGAAGATCCCGTGACAGGAGCCGACATGGGCAAAACCGGTGGTTTCTCCTGGCACGATAAAGTGCCAGAGGATGTGGTGCCATCTTTCCACAAGGCGTTAGCCAACGGGACGTATGATGCAGAGGGCGGCGGGTACTACTATTGGGATAAGGATGAGAGTCGGTGGTGGACGTTTGATACACCCGAGGCTATCAAACTCAAGTTTCCGGCGATTGTGGAGAAGAGAGGGCTTGGGGGCGTGTTTGCGTGGGGTTTGGGCGAGGATGCATCGCAGTTTAGGCATCTGGAGGCGCTTACGGGGGGGTTTGAGAGTTTTAAGCTAAGGAAGGAGAGGGCAAAGGAGGAGGAGAGGTCGGAGTTGTGATGACTGGGAATGAGAAGAGTGGTGTTAGCTTTTGCTAAAAAGAAGAAGATGGATATTTTGCTATCTCATAGATAGATTAGGAGAGCGCCATTGTTGATTATTGTGTAGTACATTACTCTGTCTGCTTAATCACTATTCTGCTCAAACCATCAAATTACTTAGAAACAAATTACTTTTCCGGAGCATAGATGTTTGCATGGTTTCGGCAAAGAATTGGAAGCAAGTATATACTTGCGTCAAGATACGTTCTACGGCAATGAGCTACGTGAACGCAGCATGTCTTAGGTACACCGGGCAACGATTGACGATAACCTCATGATCTACGGGGCGAGATCTGACATACACTCTTATTGTTCACTCAACCCTCAAAGTAACAGCCCACAGGAAAATACAAAAAAGCACAAACTCTATTACAAAAGCATGGAAAAAAATTCTATTTACAAAATTCGCAATATGATCAAAACACCAATCTCCAATACACCCTACTACTTCTTCTTTCTCTCCAGACTCGATCTTACATCACGTACGCGACCGCCCTCCCCAATCTCAACAAAACAATCAAAGTCCCTGATACCCTCCATACGATGTGCAACAACGAGAACAGTCATATCGTTTCCAAAGACCTCCTCCCTAAGCACCCGTTGTACAATCTTGTCGGTTTCGAAATCCAAACTCGCGGTAGCCTCATCCATGACCAAGAGTTTCCTTCCTGCGCCGCTATGTTGGTGTCGAAGAATGACTCGCGCAAGACATAATAACTGTTTCTGGCCGATGGAAAATGTTGCGTCAGAGGTACTCGTGTCAAGACCGCTGGGCAGGTTGGCTACGAGTGTTGATATGTTGAGTTTGGTGAGGATGTCGTAGATGTCATCATCGGATATGCTCATTAGGTCAAAGGGATTCAGGTTCTTTCGTATTGAGCTGTGAGGCAGCAGGAAGGGCGCTTGAGGTAATGTGAGGAGACGCTCACGTAGCGCTTGACGGCCAATCATGGAAAGTGGGATGCCATCTATGGATATGATGCCGCTGGTCTGGGGGACGAGGTTAAGTAGCGAAGAGAGAATGGTGGACTTTCCGCAGCCTGAGGCGCCGATAAGAGCCGTTTTGGAAGCAGGTGAGACCTCCACGGAGAAATTGTTGATGGTTGGGCGGTCTTTCCAGGATGCGGTCAGACTGGAGAAGCTGACGTGGCCTTGGGAGGGCCAGTCGGGCGGAGGCACACAGATTTCGGTTGATTGGTGTTCGGAAGGAGTTGTGAGAGCAAAGGTGCGGATGCGAGAGACCGCACCGATGCACATTTCGAGGTTTGTCCAGTTTTCGAGAAGAGCTTTGGTACTAACACCGAAATTGATGATACTAACGAGTGCTGTTCCGATCAGACCTGGGGCAATGTGGCCTTTGGTTTGAACGGCAATGGCTATGAAAACAATGGCAATACCTGCGACGACAGAGTCAAGGACGAGATTGAGCCAGCGTTGAACGCAGTAGAGAAGATAAAAAGGCTTCTGTGAGTAGTCGAGTCTCTCTAGAAATCGACGTTTGTAGTCTTTTTGGGCGTTGTACGCTCGAATAGCGGCCAGTCCGGACAGTGTTTCCAGGAAATGAGAGAAGAGTGGACCTTTTGCTTCAATGTCGAGGAGACGAAGCTGACGAGCCGTGCGGAGATAGAACTTCTGCAGGAGGAAGAAGACCATCAATACCGCTGGCATGGTGGCAGCGATATAGCCAGATGATACCGCAATCACGATGAGATTGCCAAACGTCGACAGCAGCTCTATTGAAGTATTGAAGAGAGCCAGCGGCAATTCCATATCGATAAGTTGAAGGTCTTGACTAAACCGATTGAGAAGGTGAGCAACGTTGTCGCCTGAGAAGAGTGAGAGTGGTGCGTCGAGAGTGGTCCGCAAAAGCACATTATGAAAGGCTGAAGAAGCACGCGGCATCATGTTGATGATGAGCACCAAGCATCCTGCTGCCAGACCGGCAATGGCGATCCATGCGAGACCAAAGTATGTTCCGAGATATAGGCCCAATCTGCTGTGCGGATGTTCTACGTTGTGCGCTGCCCACCATCCGACAATGTATTGCGGGAAGATGAGAGCGAACACAAAAACAGCCCCGAAAAAGAAGAAAAGTGTGAAATTGAACAAACCAACGTTTCGAACGTAGTATTTGTAAATGGTAAAATCTCCGGTGCGCCGTTGCTGTCCTGTAACTTCTGTGGCTGTTTGGGTTTCCAACGGAACGCTTAGAGCGATAGCTTTGTAATCGATATGCCCAAAATTCTTCTTCACGGCTTGGACGTGTGCTGAGACTGAAGATGCTAGCTTCCAGTAAGGGCCCTGCTCAGCAATCGTGCCGTCGGCCGCCAAGACAATAATATGATCTGCGGCAGACAGACGATGTAAAGCATTGGTGGCAAAGACGACCGTCGTGTTGCTCTTCCGCAGTAGGCCCTCAGGTCCAAGCAGACTGCTGAAGATGATCTCTTCTGTAGTCGCATCAAGCCCACTCATGACATCATCCATGAAAATCAGGGACCGCCGGGAATACACAGCTCTAGCGAGGCCGACGCGGGCTTGCTGACCACCGCTAAGGTTGGAGCCCCCGTCATCCACAATCTCCCGATCTCCGTTAGGGAGGCGGGCGATATCCTCACGAAGAGCACATGCGTCGAGAACCAAGCCATACCAGCGCTGATCAAGTGTGCTCGTGGCGACAATATTGTTCTGAATGGTATCATTGATCAGCCATGGGGCCTGACCCGCAAATGCGGCGCTGTTGAGATTTGTGAGGAGATGTCCTTCGTTGAAGGTGGTTTCATCGAGCATTGCATGGAGTAGTGTCGACTTGCCACAACCCACCGGGCCGACGATGAACGTCAATGACCCTGGAGTGATAGAAAAGGTGGCATCCCGAACAACAAAGCCTTGCTCCTCGCTCCAACCGGCTGAGAAATTTGAGGCGGTGATGATGTCTTTGGTATCACATATAGGTGACCAGGCATCCTCTTTCGTGGTGATCGACAACGTTTCCAGATTCAGCGAGGACATCGAGCGGCGATTGTTGTCAGCGGACATGTACTCTCCTATGCGCTGGATAGCACCAATTGCTGCGACAAGACCGGAGATTGCATCCAGAATCATAGCCATGGGAGTCCGCAGCAGCGAGAAGATGGAGAGTGCGGTGAAACCAATCTCACTTGTGACAGGCGTGGTGTTGTTTCTCTTTGCCAAAAGAGAATATATGCCAAACGAGAGGACAGGACCCATGGCTGCAGTGGTATAAGATAGACAGACGATGAGGGCCAGCGCATTCTTGAACTTCCGAGATGCTTTAATCTCCTCTTGGCGGAGTTCTCGCAATTTTTCTTCCATGACGACTTGCAGTCCACCCATTCTGACTTCCTTGACAGCAGCGAGCGTGTCAGAGGTTGCTTTAATACGCTTCTCAATCCCTTCCAGCCAGAGACGTTGCCGCTGTCCCATACTCGCAGCGACCTGCAGACCAACTACACTGCAAAGCAGGAAGACGACACCAGGTGCGGCGGATGCTGGTCCAAGCTGTCGTTGTAGGAGGTAGATACCAACACCGATATCGATGCAGCTGGCCCAGCATTCATGCATGAAACGTAATCCAGTAGCAGTGCGTTCGACATCAGCGCTCATCAGGGTGACGGCGGATCCCTTCTGTGCGGTCGGAACAGATACGGTCAGAGTCTTGGTGTAGATGAGAGAAACCAAGGTACCTCGCAGCTTGGTGATGACACGGTATGTTTTGTGCTGGGCGTTGGCATTAGCGATGGCCAAGCCGATGTAGATGAAGGCGGTGGCTCCGATAAGGCCGTTTCCGAGCTGTTTCTCCAGACGAGAATCTGGAGTGGCAGTGGCGTAAGACACAACTGTGGAAAGTAGAAACGGTTGTGAAAAGGTGAAACCAGATAGTGCCAAACGAGGCAGCACACCCTCGAGAATGAGATTCTTGTGCGAGCTGAATAGAAGCTTGAGGAGAGCGCCAGGTGTGCGTAGATGTAAGTCGGACCATTGTTCCCATACTTTGTCGAAGAAGTCCCGTGAGCGTAACTCTGTGTCAATCGCTGGGAGATGTGGAACGTCGAGGATTGTCTTGGAGCCCAGCCAGAAGAGCGGATTCAGCCACCAGAACAATCCTCTGGTATAGACATTGGCTCTCGTCTCACGCGGGAGTCTTTGATCAGTGGTAGCTGCATTGGAGCAGATATTGATAACCAGGAAGAGAATCAGATGTACACCGACTCCGACGGAGAAGGTTATGGCAAACGGCCGGTTGTCCTGGATGATCCATAGTGTTCGGGTCCGGACGATGTCAAAGAGGAGGACAAGTCCGAGGTACAGAGAGAGGAGGGAGGTTGGTCGGGGACTCCGGTAATGCTCCAGATGGGTCAGGAGTGGCACGCATAGTGCCACGAACAAGCCAACGATAGCGGTGGGGATGGAGAAGGGAGTCCTCGGAGCCGAAACACAGAGTACGATGAGCTTGACGAAGTTGATGTGGATGAAACTGATGTGTGCTATCTGTAGCAAGCGTTAGTGAGTTCGATGTTCATGCTGGAGTGAGTGGAGACTGACCTGCTTGATCCAATATTGGTCGAGTCTGTTGCTAGTAGATGCACAGGGTCTTCTTCTCTGAAGCTGAAACACTCGTAATATCAAAAGGATGGTGAGTGTAACATTTGGGACCAGAGAGAAGAAGATCTCCTCAAAGAGCAGAGTGAAGTCGAATCCATTGTAGCAGGCCGGAACCGCTACAACGACTGGACCAAAGGCAGTCTCGTCGTGAATGGGACAAGAAAGGGGCATGGTTGCTGCAGTGACTTGATTGCTGCAGGGACTGCTGGGAGCCTCCCTGACTGTCTTCTGCTGCTTCACATTACTGCGTGGGTAAGGCCCCCCGCACTATGAATCTGACTGAATGGTTTTCTCCTGCACTGCCCGGATCAGGTGGTCGCCTCGCTGGCCCCAGTTGGAGCCTTAGGAAAGCCATGCCGTCAGCGTCGGGGTCTTTGTTCTGGACCCTGTCGCATGCACTGATGTGTCGGAAGAGGAGCAGCATCATCCTCATGTGCGGCTGGCAGAGGATTGTTGAGCAGGGGTCGCTGACCGACGCTAGACGTCAGCGGGCTAACGCTAACGGTGGACCGGCTGGCCGCCTTGCCAAGGCACGCTTGTTACAAGTTTGGTTGAAAGGATTGCTCTAACACACAACCCCGGTGCGGCATCTTCAAGGGGCTATAGACTTGACGTGCTTAGCCACCGAACCGATCATTACGCGAGACCAATCAAAATTTCATCCGGTATGTTTTAGGAAAAGCGTATGTAAGCCACACCTGCACGGCATTGACATGCTCACTCGCTGCCATCTCTCGCGTGCGATTTTAGATACGTTTCATGTAACTCGACAGCAATAAGCATACAAAACTGGTGGCTGACAGCGTATATGCGTACTTTTAAGGTTGTAAGGGCTTAGACGTCATGCAAGCCACTTCTGCCCCATCACTATACGTAACCCAATTGGGACCAAAGACGGCGACTGGCGCGTGTTTGTCGCACAGAATAGACGAACGCGCCTTCCCAGCGTACGGCACAGTTGCACTCAGCCTCATTGACCGCGACAACCAAAACAGCACTGCCCACACCTGTATCAATAACAACTGCCTCTTTCTCTTCATGTAGAAAACTACAATCCCACACCATCCCACTACACAACACATACACCACACATCTATATTTACGTTTGCTTGTTGTACCGCGCATGCGATGAGATTGTCACTTCCACTTCTCAGCGCCTTGCTGCTGCCTCTCCTCTCCGCTGCTTCTCCCACCCCCACTTCCTCTCTCACACTTGTCGCTCGAGCTGCCATCACCCCACCCCCTTTGGGTACTCCGCCTTCACGCCGCGATGACTACGCTCCGAGTATCCCGCCTCTCTCACTCGATCTCCCTGGAGAGCCAAACATACCATCTCTCTCCCTCGACCTTCCAGTTGAGACGTGCACCCCTGGTTTCAGCGCATACGCAACTCCCGGTCATGATGGATACGTTCCTGCGGAGGCGTGCAATGCGCTATGGGTCTACTTTCCAAACTTTGCGGCTGCAGTAGCTTTTTCCATTCTGTTCGGCATGCTCACAATTGCACACCTTTGTCAAGCAGTTGTGTATCGCAATGGCTTCTGCTGGGTCATCATCATGGCCTCTCTTTGGGAGACTGGTGCATATGCTTTCCGTGCTCTTGGTTCCAAGAATCAACAATCTGCCGGCATTGCAACTGTTGCTCAGATCTTGGTATTGGTAGCTCCCATCTGTAAGTGTCAAACTGATACATCATCTCTTCCCCTTCTAACATCTTCTTCCCAGGGGTCAACGCCTTTGCATACATGGTCTTCGCCCGCATTGTCCACTTCTACTCGCCCACTCGAAAAGTCTGGTACCTATCGCCTTCCGTCCTCGCTCTCGTCTTTGTGACTCTCGACATTGTCTCGTTTGTCATTCAGCTTGTCGGTGGTGGTATGGCTGGTCCCGGCGCAACTCCCGAGGCACAACGGAAAGGCTTGAACTTATACATGGGTGGTATTGGCATGCAGGAAGGTTTTATTGTTCTGTTTACGGGCTTGGTCATCAAGTTTCACCGTGATCAGATCCAGGCAGAACGAGTCGGACGTTTGGCTGCAGACAAGATTGGTGGCTGGAGATGGTTGACTTGGGCACTCTACGGATGCTTGTTGGCCATCACCATTCGCATCATCTACCGCCTAGCCGAGTTCTCCGGTGGTCTAGGCACGAACAATCCTCTTCCCAGTAACGAGCCTGTGTTGTACGTCCTCGAGTCTGCACCAATGTGGTTGGCTATTCTTGTGTGGAACATTGTCCATCCTGGTCGTTTCATTCATGGCCCAGACGCCAAGATGCCGCGCTCATGGCTGTCTCGCCATCTCTGCTGCTGCTGTGGCAAACGCCGCTGCGACGATTGCAATGGCAAGGTTGGCCATGCTGGTCCTCACCACCACCCCTTGGTAAATGACTCGGAGCTGGAGGAGAACCGAGAAATGCAACCTGTTAAGAAAAAGCACCGAGGTCGTGTTTCTGTCGCACAGGTCAACCCGTTCATGGACACACCATCTCGCGACAATTCTCCAAACGCCCTTCGTCCTCCACCAGCTGCCAACAACTATCGCGAAGCTAGTCCCGAGGCACCATCATACACTGCATACCGTCCTCACCGAGGCTGAAGAGAAACGATCAAACCCCTTCAGTTCCCCACTTCTACAGCAAGTCAACGCGAAAGCAGACTGTGCCTCATGAATAGATAGCGTGAAGACATGTGCAGGATGAGCTCCAGGGTCAACTGCGTCAGGCACGTTAGATAATCAGATACCGTTGAATATGATGTGCATCAGCAATTAAAAAGCAATCATGATTCCCACAATAGATTGCCCTGGAAATGCCAGAGCATACAACTCTCGCTCTTACACTCGTTGTGACCAAACTTATAAGAGAATGGTGATTCGATAGATCATATCGTATTGTGATAATGCTAAGTGCTGGATGCCCCAGCTTCGTCGTCTCAAGGCCACCTTCATCCTGTGATACTGGCTCTCCCAGCCAAATCTTGGTTTCAAACTTGGGCCATGTGACAACTATTCTTCTACTTAACCTCGGAATAAACCCTTGACCATTTATAATGTGCATCGTGAAGAGACCATTTCTATAAAAATGTAAGAATACTCTATGATAACGCAACTACCAGCAGGTGGACAACCCGACACGTCTACTACTCTACAAAACAGCATCCACCTCCTGCAACTCCTCAACTTTGACTTCGATACCATCCTTGGCAGTCACGGCATCCGCATCGACCTTCACTTCAACCTCATCGGGGAACATAACCTCATACCTCCACCCAAACCTATCCTCTCCAACTCCCCTAATCGCCTCCCCAATGGCCTCATTCAACTTCTTCGCTGCAGGCCCCGCCTCGTCATTCTCACAATACACAAACTTCTCCCCCGTCTCCTCATTCGTAATGCTGGAGATGGGCAGAATAGAAACTAAAACCCACGACTTAGCATCGGACCTCCAAGAAATTACAATATTGGGAAGAAGGGGAGGGGAGGGGGAAAACATACCAGCAGTACCCACAGCAAGCACCTCCTTGAAACTCTTCAACTCCTCCACACCAACTCGCCTCTTCTCCACCTTCCACCCCAACACCTCCTCCGCAAGCTTCTGCAGCGTATCACTCGTAACACTATCAATGACTTGTCTACTCTGCGGCACCACAACCGTGCCATCTGGCATCACGCCCACAAAACCCGACGACCCAAACTCCTCAATCTCCGTGCGCGTCCGCGCATCAAGGAAGAGTTGCATCGGAAACCCGCGCTTCATCGCCGCCTGCGCTGGTAAGATACCAGAGGCGTAGTTCCCGCCTACCTTGGCGTGGCCCGTTCCCAGCGGCGCAGCGCGGTCGTACGTCGTTGAGATGCACGCAGGGATTGGACGCACGCCGAGGTAGGTAGTCGCTGCGTGGGCATAGATAGCCAACGTGACTGTTTCAGGCACGGGAGTGAGGGACAAGTGAGGCGAGGTGGGAATGAGCAAAGGTCTGATATACAGAATCGCAGAGGAAGATGCTGGACCCAATAACTGCGCATTCGAACGGATGAGCAAATTCAAGGCCTCGAGGAAAGTGTCGAGAGGAGGGGATGGCAAGGCGATTGTAGCGGCTGAGTGGGTGAGACGGCGGTGGTGGAAAGTTGGGCGGAAAAGCGTGATTGTGTTGTTTGAGTGGCGTGTTGCTTTTAGCCCTTCAAAAGCTTGCATGCCGTAGTTTAGGGCGGGGGATAGGCCGTGGATTTGCAGGTATGGCGATGCGTGGAGGGTTGGCGGAGTCCATTGGGAGGTCGTAAGGTTGAAGGTTGTTTCCACGTGAGAGGGGATGGGCTGGGAGGGGGTGGCCTCGGTGTGGACGTTGAGGGTGAGGGTGATACCGCAGTTGATTGTTGTGAGGGGGGCTGGGGGAGGTGCCATTGTGATTGT